GTATTTGAAAAGTTTATCAGATCTACAGATGCACCCGCACTAAGAGAAAAATGTCGAATTCAAAGTGCATATGTGCGTCCCAAGCCTCAGGCGCGAAGGAGCCGGAGTGGAGGTCGCCGTTACGGCTCGACGTGACCGAGAAAAATCGGTTCACCCTCCCATAAAAAGTAATCACTTCAAAAATTAAAATTAACGGATAAACTAATAAAACAGTATAAACTATATCACGTACAATCGTCATGGATAATAGATACAAACACAGAGGTCATCAGAGTAAGTCAACGTTCAATCTTTACAAACGGTGCAGAATAACCACACAAATTAAAATTGGAAAACATGGGTGAATGGAATCCAGGAGCACCCCAAACCATAACAAGGCACAACTGTTGACCCTGTTTATGTTGTTACAAGCGGATCATGATCATACCCAATTGATAGTTATAACAATTGACGTAAGTGTGCGAGATATTGAAATTTTGCTCGCTGAACTTGGACCCAATTTGGTTCTGCTCCGCTTGCATCCCGTGCTCCCGTTGATAAACAATATAAAAAAACATGAACTTGCAAATTGATGACCCCGAAGTAAAAAATTGTAACTACCATACAAATCCAATTAACCCGCCGGCAACTACCGCATGTGATACCCAAACGGAAAAGTTCAATTTAATGAAGTTGAAGAGTATCAAGCAGACAGTCTCCAAGATGAACAAAGCGGGAAGTGTAAGAATTCTATGGTTTTCAAAGTAGTGCTTGCAATGAGCTCCACTCTCCAGGCCAAACAAGTAGCAAATTGCTCTTTTCTGAAGTTTAAATATACTTTGAAATTGCTGGGTGTTACAGCAGCCCCAAAAAGGTAGGCCGTAGCGGATGTGAGACTCAAATAGAGAGAAGTAAGCGAGTCTAGCGGAGAACACATTCAGCTCCCTACAAACTGATCGAATTGCGAAACAAGCGGAAGATAGTTTCTTTGTTAGGGACTCAACATGTGTAGACCACTTCAGGTTAGCATTAATGTTCAAACTCAGAAATTTCACTGACTCAACGAATTTAATATTGCTGTTATGAAGGAGCAAGGGTTGTAAAGCTCCTCTATAAGAGAAGGCCACCGTTTTATTGACGTTAAAACCCAGCAAACTAGAGTCAGACCAAGCCTTGATCATAACGAGATCGCTGGAAGCCCTAGAGTGGAGGGACACAGCATCAGAATCACTCCATGTCATGCTTGTGCCGTCAGCAAAGAGGGCAATTTTGCAATATAGCAGGAAAAGAATAGGTCCAAGTACAGAACCCTGTGGGACTCCACTGGCAATCAATTTACTCTCGGAGTCGGACTGGCCACTAATGTTAAGTTAAACCGGATGTGACTTTAATGTTAAGTGGACGACTCGTTGCCCCGAAGATATTTGCAGAAAAAGACTTTGGAATATCCAGCCCAGAACTTATACGTAAACAGTACAGACTTATTGCAACTATTATTAATGTATCTCAATCCTCCTATCTTAGTGTAAAATACCTTAATATTTTATAAGAAGACGTGTGTTCAATTCGTTTTATATGGTAATATATCCTAAATATAAAGAATGACATTATTTCTGAGTAGAAATTGGTCACAGATCAAATTTGACGAACCGGCACCGACCATTTAACGACAATAATTTTAATGGTGGTGTTTTCGATCAGTTCGGTACCGGTACGCTTGGTGTATAGATAAAAGTTTACATTTTTACACATTTCCAAAACAGCGAAATATAGTTTTACTCATAATTGCTTACAGGTTTTAATTTAAAACGATTTTTGTAAGAAGTTGTCTTGCACTAACTCGGCAATAAATCTATTAGATTTAAAAAGCGATTTCCAAGCTCTACTTGAAAGCATAAAATAGAATCGAGACAACGACTGATAAGTTTTTTACATTTTGAATTACCGATAATTAGTAAATGTAAAAAATAACTATACAGGTTGTGCGGAAATAACGACGTGTGAGTAAATTGGCATATTTTAGAAGATTATTCTTCAGACTAGAATAATAAGCCAAATTTTACACAAATATTCCAAAATTGCTTGCTACAGGCGATCACATTTCTTGAAAACTGAACTTTGAAGAAGTAATTTTTTGAAGTATTTTGTAACTCCATTTAATTGCAATTGAAAAATTAAATTATCGAATCGGAAATACTTTTCAGTAAAAAAGATCCTACTTCTTCTCGATAGGATATAAAATCTCGTTTTGAGGCAATATACGATTAAAGGCTAAATAAAATGCATCTTTAAACGTAGTTGGCAGCTGTCACTGTCTATACGTTTATACGTCTCTGACACTGACGTGATAGTAACGTCATCGTCGAGTCGGCGCAGTGTTGCGCAAATAACTTGGTGCGCCAACCCAACGCATCGGCACAGTAACTCAGTTTCATGTTTGACGATAAATGGCATGAGGGAGATTTTTTAATAACATTTCAATTATTTTTGACAACACAGGCAGCATTGCGATTGGACGATAGTTACATGATGCATCCCTTTCACCACCTTTATGAAGAGGAATAATGATCGCAGTTTTGAGACAT